GGTATCTGGTAGTGAATCAAGTTGGCATTCTACGGAAAATGTTTCACCAGCTTTGACTGCAGAAAAACTACATGTCTTCGATTGGTCATAGTCACCTTTAAATAACTCAACATGAACAATTCCATCTAAAACATTTACGGACATAAGTTGAGAAACAAAAAAAGTAATTTGTTGATTAGGAGCTGGTGGATCGGGTGAAATTGTTACTTTGAGAGGATTCTTGTCACTGCCACTGCTACATGGAGTAAATGTGGTTCTTTTCTCGAGTGGCATAGAATTTATAACAGAAAAAGTCACTAATAAAATAAACGAAAAAATCAATTTTTTGCTCATCATTTTTGGAATGTATGATATTTGGTAATGGTATTTTATTTCATAATTAACTTGGGTCATTGCCTTTTTATAAGAAATTTTATTCGAAAAAAATAAATAACAGTTTTTAAATTCTCTAAGATAATTTAATTTTAATTTTATATGAAACCTTTGCAGTAGAAAAGAGCAAGTTGATCCGATTTGAGTTAGTCAAAATTCCGTAAAACATATTATTTTGATCGGTTAATGTTACCTTGTGATCGTGTTTTAAAATCTTTTACATCGACATATCTCAAATTTTTTTTTATTATGCAAATCGATTTCATTTATAATTGAAAAATATAGCCGTGCCGAAATTTATCGAATCTTACAAGAATTTATTTTTGATTTCCGAGATAGCTTACGATGTTTGCTAATTTGTAAATATAATTGTATGGTAGTTTATATGTCAGCGTTTCTTCATTTGTGGTAGTGTATGAGATGTAATCAAATAATATGTGCATAGTATATGAGTGTTAGAAAAAAAGATTTAATAAATGTCACCTTATCATATTGATTCTACACTGATCATCATCTCTTTTAATAGCCACTGAACCATATACAGTAATTTTCTCCGCAAAAAAGGGGGTTTCCTGTAAAATAACCAAAGTCATTTTATTAAAGTGACTAGAACGATTAGTACAACGGTTAGTTTGTAAGAGCGACGCATAATGAATACGCAGTGCAGCTCCAACCGCTTCAAGAAGTTATGTGGATTGAATGATACAAGATTCTATCTATCTCTTAAACCGTTTTAAATTCAGGGCAGATCT